CGTCGTCGTCGTCGTCGTTGTCGTCGTTGCGGCCGCCTGAGGCTCCGCACCATCGAGTTCGCCCGGGAGCTGGACGTGGCGCTCGTCCAGCCTGCGCTGGAGGCGCGCTCCCCCTCTCGCCGCCGCCGCCGTGGAGCGAGCGGGCCAGCCAGGCCCCGTTCAGAGGCCCACTGCCAGAGGTTTTCTGGGTCGCCCTCGGGGTCGCCCCCCTGGTCCGAAGGAGGAGGAGGAGGAGGAAAAGGAGGAGGAGGAGGAGGAGGAGGAGGAGGAGGAGGAGGAGGAGGAGGAGGAGGAGGAGGAGGAGGAGGAGGAGAAGGAAGAGGTCGGGCCATGACACGTGAGTCGGGAAACAAATCATGGCACAAACATAATCTTTCGAAGCTCCGCGCGGAATTCTTGGATCTGCGCTGGGGCCCCTCTGGCGGCGCCTCCAGCGCAGCCCCTGGCGCGCTCCGCGCGCCAGGGAGGGGGTTCGCAGCACCGATCCAAGGACTCCGCGCGGACCTGTGCTTACGATTTTTCCCTTGTTCGGAGCGTATCCCGTCCACTTTGAGCAGCAGTCGCGGCCGTCCGTGGACGGGGGCCTGTCCAACAGCGGCCGCGGACGGTCTTGGGCAGCAATCTGTAATTGGGCATCGTGCCCATCGTTTCCGTACCAATTCCCCCCCCCGTCACCTGGGGCGCGAGGATAATCGCCCCCCCCCTGGGGCGCGAGGGTGTGCCAAAGATTCCCTCCCCTGGGGTGCGAGAGTGTGCCGAAGATCCCCCCCCGGGGGCGCGAGGATCATCGCGCTTCGCGCGTCGCGCTCTGGGCCAGAGCAGCCTGCCTTCCCCGCGGGCGGCGGCGTGGGGGCCCGCGGGCGCGGAGGTGGCCGCGCGCCGCGTGGATTTTCTCCGAAAAGGGGGGCTCCTGAAGACGACGAGCAGCGCGAGCCTGCCCCCCCCCCCCAAGCCTCGAGCCCGCCCCCCGGTTTTCTCGATCCTGCCGCCCCCCCCCCCGATCCTCGATCCTGAACCTGCCCGCCGCGATCCTCGATCCTGCCGACGGCGGGAAACATCACCGCAGCCAGCGCTCTCCCTCCTCCCTCCTCCCTCCTCCTCCCTACTCCTCCCTCCTCCTCTCCCTTCCTCCCTCCTCCCTCCTCCCTCCTCCCCCTCCCTCTTCCGCCCTCCTCCTCCTCCTCCCCCCTCCTCCTCCTCCTCCTCCTCTTCCGTCTCCTTTTCCTCCAACCTCCTCCTCCTCCTCCTCCTCCTCCCCCTCCTCCTCCTTCTCCTCTCCCCTCCCCCCTCCCTCCCTTCTTCCTCCTCCTCCTCCTCTCCTCTCCTCCTCCACCTCCTCCTCCTCCTCCTCCTCCTTCCTCCTCTCTCCTCTCTCCTATCTCTCTTCCATCCTCCTCCTCCCTCCTCCTCCTCCTCCTGCTCCTCTTCTCCTCCTCCTCCTCCTCCTCCTCCTCCTCCTCCTCCTCCTCATCTCCTCCTCCTCTCCTCCTCCTCCTCCTCCTCCCTGCTCCTCCTCCTCCTCCTCCTCTTCCTCGCCCTCCTCCTCCTCCTCCCTCCTTCCTCCTCTCCTCCCTCCTCCTCCTCCTCCTCCTCCTCCTCCTCCTCCTCCTCCTCCCTCTCCTCCTCCTCCCTCCTCCTCCTCCTCCTCCTCCTCCACCTCCTCCTCCTCCTCCTCCTCCTCCTCCGTCCTCCTCCTCCCCTCCTCCCCTCCTCCTCCTCCTCCTCCTCCTCCACCTCCTCCTCCCCTCCTCCACCTCCTCCTCCTCCTCCTCCTCCTCCTCCTCCTCCTCCTCCTCCTCTCCTCCTCCTCCCCCTCCTCCTCCTCCTCCTCCTCCTCCTCCTCCTCCTCCTCCTCCTCCTCCTCCTCCTCCTCCTCCTCCTCTGTCTCCTCCTCCCCTCGGTCTTCGCCTCGCCCGCTGTGCCGAGGCTGGCAGGGCGATGTCGCTGGGGCGCGGCGCCTGCGCCGACCTGCTCGAGGTGGCGACGAGGGCCGCGTGCCTCACCGCGTGCTGTCCGGCCCGCCTTGCGGCCAAGCTCCGCCGCGGCCTCTCGGGCGGCGCGCCGAGGGGGTAAGCGGAGCGCGTTTCCAGCTTTGGGCCGCATGTCGGCGGCGCGCCGAGGGGGGAAGTTCGAGGGGGAAGCTCGGCATGTCTGACGTTTTCGTCGATTCCCGTAGGTCTTCCAGCCTCGGGATGCTTTCCAGCAGCTGCGCCTCGCCGAGAGCGTTCTGTGGGTGCCCAAACTGGCCCGAACGGCCGCCAGAGAGCCGAACATTGACCCAAGAGCCCTTCGGTTGCCGTCGAATCGTGTTTTTTGTTGTTGTTTGTCGTTGTCGATGTGTTGCTCGACTTGCTTTTCGCTAGCAGTGCTCAGCATGGCTCTCCTGCCTCGTCCCGCCAGCCCTGGCCTCCTGCCTGCGCGCTCGCCGTCGTCTGCCTGACCTCTCTCTTCCTCTCGGCGGCCCGCCCAGGGGGGAGCGAGGAGGAGAAGGCCTTCTCAGAAGGCGTCGGGGCTTCGCAGCAGCCCTCGGGCCTTCTGAGAGGCCTTCTGTGCCTTGGGACGGGCCAGGACCACTCCTCAGAAGGCCCGGGAAGTTCCGAACCCTCCGAGAAGGCCCGCCCCTTCTTTTCTCCCCCCCCCCGGGCTCGCCGCCGATTCTCTCTCTCTCTCTCTCTCTCTCTCTCCCTGGCTGGGCAGTGCAGGCTGCAGGGAGCCCGCGGGACGGCCCCATTCGTTGCAGGGCTGGTGCCTGCCCCCTCCTGCCCTCGCCTGTTCCGGCGCTGCTCCGTGTGCTCCGTGGGCGGTTCGAGGTTCGAGCTCTTCGGCTTGCAGCTCGGGTTTTCGAGCGTGTTCGTGGTCTCCTGGAGGTTTTCCAGTCTCTGGGACGCGTTTCCAGCAGCTGCTCCTTGCCGAGAGCGTTCCAGGGGTGCCCGGATCGTCCTCAACGGCCGCAGGAGACTCGAGTTATGGCCTGAGAGCCAATCGGAGGGCGAGGGCTCAGATGTTCTCGCAACGTGAAAAAACCGCTCCTGGGAACTCTGTTGGTTCGACGCTGGTTCCTGCACGCTCGTTCTGGGAGCTTGATGGGTTCGACGCTGGCGCCCGCATTGTCATTGCGGAGCGTGTTTGATCGGGCGTTGGTCCCTGCATGTTTAACATGGGAACCTTTTAGGTTTGACACGTGTCCTTTTTTTTGCAAGTTAGGTAGGCTCGACATTGATTTTCTCATGTTTGTTCTGGTAGTTTGGCTGGCTCGACGCGGCTCTCTACACCTTTGCTCTGGGAGTTGATTGGTTCGACGTTGGTCCTTGCACCTGGATTCCAAGAAGTCTTTTGAGTCGACCTTGCTCCCGCTGGGCCCCAGGAATTGACCGCCGCTGGCCAAGTTTTTTGTTAACGCATTTTTGGTTGTTGTGTTTTTTTTTGTGATGCACGTTTTTGTGGCGTGCTCGTCTTTTGTTAATGCGGCGCGTTTGGTTGTTGGTGTGTTGTGCATTTCGGTTCCTCGCTCGTCAGGACGAGTTCCAGGCGCCGTGCTTCGTTCAGAGCTTGTCTGTGGGCGCAGGGACCGCTCCACACTGCCCCATCTTCGGAAACTGGAACATATATATATATATACACATATATATACACATACACATATATATATATATATATATATATATATATAAATGGGGAGGGGGTCCTGGACCAGGGGGGGGCCTCACTTTGCCCAGTGGCTGTGGTCACCCCCCCGCAGGAGACGCCAGGACGCTCCCAGGACCCTCTAAAATGGCTCCAGGACGCCCTCAGGACAGCCCAAGAGAGGTCCGAAGCGACCCGGGAGCACTCCAAGACGGTTAAAAAGCTGCCAAAGCGTCCCAGCAGGTCTCCGACAGCTCTCCCGGGAGGGGCCCAAGAGGGAATTGTCATGGATTTTTAGTGGATTTTTGAAGGGTTTTGGCGTTCTCCCCAGTTCGGCTTCCAGACGCTCCAAGACGGCCCAAGAGGCCCGAAAGATCGCCTCAAGACGAACCAAGAGGCCCCCAAGAGACCACCGAGCTCCCAGAACACTCCAAGAGGAGCCCCAGATGGGGAACACGAACTGACATTTCGAGCCCTCGCCCACCAGAAGCTCCCAAGAGGCCCCCAGGAGTCCGCAAGAGGCCTCGAGAGGCCCCCAGGAAGCTCCAAGAGGCCTCCAAAAGGCGCCGAAAGGGCCCCACAAGGCTTCCAGACGCTGGTGATAATGACAATGATCATTATGCAGGTCTGCCTCAGGCCCACAACCTAAATCCCCAACACTGCTCACGCGGCAGCAAGACGCTGCGGTGCGGAGATATCCTCGAGTTCGGCGGGGGAGCTTCGGAGACGACGGTGACTAAAATGATGACGATGATGACGGCTATTATGAAGTTGACGACGACGACGATGATGATGATGATGATGATGATGATGATGATGATGATGATGATGATGATGATGATGATGATGATGATGACGATGCTGATGATGATGATGATGATAATGAGGAAGAATATTCTGATGATGATGTTGACAGTGGGAATGATGATGGTGATGATGGTGATCGTGATGTGAGTGATGGTGATGATGATGATGATGATGATGATGATGATGGTGGTGATGTTGATGATCATGATGACGATGACGGTGATGCCGTTGAGGATGGTGATGCTGATGATCATTATGATGATGCTGGTGATTGTCAGGATGATAACGCCGATGCTGATAATAATGGTGGCGATGCTGTTTATGGTGCTTGTGATGCAGGAGTGGGCGGATAATGAAGATGATGACGATGATGATGACGATAACGATGACGACGATCACGACGACGACGATAATGATGACGATGGTGATGATGAGGATGATTATGTTGATGATTCAGGTGACGATACTGACGATGATCACGACGATGGTGATGATGACGATGGTGATGACGATGTTGCTGCTGATGGTGGTGATGGTGACGATTGTGATGATGGTGGTGGTCATGGTCATGGTGATGATGACGATGCCGCTGACGATGACACCGGATATGATGGTGATGAGGATGGCGATGATGACGATGACGATGATCCTAGCTAGAACTAGAGCGCGCGCGAAGCGCGCGCGCGATGGTTCTAGCATCTACATATATATACATATATATATATATATATATTACCAGTGGCGGGCTCTCTTTCAATCAGAAGACTTTTTAGGGTCGGGGACGACGTCGGGGTGGTGGGGTGTATACCTTTTCCCCGTTTCCCCAGGGAAACAGCGAAAAATGTATACACCAGGACCCCATATACACCAGGATCCGCTTTCCTGTGAGAGTTTCAGCGCAGGGCCGGAAAAGGCGTTGATGTATAGAGTTCGGTTCCCTACCTCTTGAGCCCACACTGCGGTGGGCTCGGCCTCGGGGATGGAACGGCCGCACCGCTGGTGCAAAACCGGAGGCACGGAGGGTGGCGTTCCATCGGCATCGCCAGAGCTCCTGTCGCGGGCTTTTGTCGCTCCTGCCGCCCTGCCTGCCGAGGGATTTTTCGGCCCTCTCCGGCAGCGCCAGTCAGCATCCCCTTTCGGCACGACAAGGATGAGTACGGAAAGAATGGGTACAATGCCCAACAGCAGTTCCTGCTCATTTTGAACAGGATTCGCTGTCCACGCCGCCGCGGCCTGTGTCCATTCGAGACAGAAGGCCGCCTGCCCAACAGCGGCCGCTGTTGGTTTGGGACAATATTTGTTGTTGGGCATTGTACTCATTTTTTCCGTACCCATTTCGGGCGCCCGAACTCTTGATGGAGGCGCTCTCCAGACTTTTTTGCTCTGGTGTTTGCATGCGCGTGCACGTGATCGCCCGGGTGGCAGGTGGCGCTTACATAGGGGAACAAAAAGTGACATAAACATAAAAATTCGGAGGTCCGCGCGGATTTCTCGGATCGGCGCTGGACCCCCCCCCTTGCGCGGAGCGCGCCAGGGGCGGCGCCGGAGGCGCCGCCGGGGGGCCCCAGCGCCGATCCGAGAAATCCGCGCGGACCTCCGAGTTTTTATGTTTATGTCACTTTTTGTTCCCCTATGTAAGCGCCACCTGCCACCGGGGCGATCACGTGCACGCGCATGCAAACACCAGAGCAAAAAAGTCTGGAGAGCGCCTCCATCAAGAGTTCGGGTGCCCGAATCGGTACGGAAAAAATGAGTACAATGCCCAACAACAAATTTTGTCACTTGTTTTCCCCTATTACAACATCACCCCAGCAGGCTTGTTACACGATGCGTGCGCCGGTTCTGCAGGGGCGGCGCGCACGCTCAGAAATCTTATACATATATATATATGTATATATAGGCCGGTGCACCCACCATGAACCCCCCTTTTCTCTTGGACGATGCCAAGAAAAAAGGGGGGCGGGTGCGGTTGGAGTTTCGGGTGTCGCGTCGTGTTGTGGTGGTAGGATCTGGAGTACATGTGTGTGTGTGTTGGAGACGGAGGGAGCCTGTTGAGTATCGGGTGTCGTGTTGGAGAAGGAGGCTGTTGAGTACTGGGTGTTGTGTTGGAGACGGAGGGAGTTGAGTAGGAGGTTATTTTCAAGTTCAGCTTGGGGAGGGAGCCTGTTGAGTATCGGGTGTTGTGTTGGAGAAGGAGGCTGTTGAGTACTGGGTGTTGTGTTGGAGACGGAGGGAGTTGAGTAGAAGGTTCTTTTCAAGTTCAGCTTGGGGAGGGAGCCTGTTGAGTATCGGATGTTGTCTTGGAGAAGGAGGCTGTTGAGTACTGGGTGTTGTGTTGGAGACGGAGGGAGTTGAGTAGAAGGGAGCTCAACAAGTCTTCCAAAAAAGAGTCTCAAAAGTGAGTCCGGAAATCGTAGGAATCATATATAAATGCATATATAATCATGAGAAAGGGGGGTTCTTGGTGCAGCTTGGGGAGGGAGCCTGTTGAGTATCGGGTGTTGTGTTGGAGAAGGAGGCTGTTGAGTACTGGGTGTTGTGTTGGAGACGGAGGGAGTTGAGTAGAAGGTTCTTTTCAAGTTCAGCTTGGGGAGGGAGCCTGTTGAGTATCGGGTGTTGTGTTGGAGAAGGAGGCTGTTGAGTACTGGGTGTTGTGTTGGAGACGGAGGGAGTTGAGTAGAAGGTTCTTTTCAAGTTCAGCTTGGGGAGGGAGCCTGTTGAGTATCGGGTGTTGTGTTGGAGAAGGAGGCTGTTGAGTACTGGGTGTTGTGTTGGAGACGGAGGGAGTTGAGTAGAAGGTTCTTTTCAAGTTCAGCTTGGGGAGGGAGCCTGTTGAGTATCGGGTGTTGTGTTGGAGAAGGAGGCTGTTGAGTAATGGGTGTTGTGTTGGAGACGGAGGGAGTCGAGTAGAAGGGAGCCCAAAAAGTCTTCCAAAAAAGAGCCTCAAAAGTGAGTCCGAAGATCGTAGGAACCATATAGAAAATCATATATAATCATGAGAAAGGGGGTTCTTGGTGGGTGCACAGGGCTATATATATATGTATATATATATATATAAACACACACTTAAGTCGGTCCTGTCCCTCTACAGAGGGAACATTCAAACATATCTAAAAAATAGTCTGGGGACGATATTACTATTTTTGGGCATTTTGGGGGTATTCTTGAAGTATTTTTGATTTTTCGGCCAAAATCCCCCTGTGGGGGGACAGGCCCGACCTCAATATACACATACGTAGTAGAATCCCTCCGAGGCGGGCTCTTCCTGGCCGTACCGATGGGGAAAAGATCTTCTAAACGATGTTTGTACCGCATGCTCGTGTCGGACGTGCGCCTCCAACATGAGCATGTCTCATTTCTCTCTTACCGCATCCGCAGGCACCGCCCTCCAGGACCCGTTTAGATTCGTCGACAGATCAGATTCGATGCCGAGTTCGCCCGGCTTGATTCGGTCCGACATCGATCTCCCAGCGAACCGATGTGTCCCGATGCTTGCACAGCGCAGTTGTGCATCCAGGCGCAGCCGCTCCGATTCGATTCTGATTCCATGCCGATGCAGCCCCATCCAACGCACATTCCGATTCGATCCAGCTTCCCAACTCGATCCCGTTCCAGAGCGTTCCAGAACGCTCTCAGAGCGATCTGGAACGCTCTGAGAAGGCCGCGGCGCCCGAGAAATCCTCCAGGGCCACCGGATCTGAGAGATTGCGAAGGCCTTACGGCCGGTGCCGCCGACCCAGAAGACGATGACGACGAGGACGAGGAAGACGACGTGGAGGGACAGGGGGAAGGACGTGGAGGAAGCGGTGGAGCAGCAAGAGGAGGAGCAAGATGCGAAGGAGGATGAGGAGGGCGAGAAAGAGCAGGGGGAAGCTTGGGTGGGGAAATTCAGCAGTATGATGAAGAGGTCGAGCAGTTGGAGGAGAAGGAGGAGCACGCGGAGGAGGGAGGAGGAGTAGCTGAAAGAGGAGGATGGGTATGGGGAGGTTGAGGTGACGGTGATTTTGCGGCGCTCGGGTGTAAGATCACGCGGCAGAAGGGGATGAGCAGGAAGAGGATAATGTTGAGGAGGATGAGGATGTGAGCACTAGCATACGAAAGAGCAGGATGCGGAAGAGGGAAAGTGGTTGGAGGGGGAAGAGCGGTAGGGTCAGGAGGAGGATGACGTGAGTGCTTTGAATCATGAGAGGTGAGGAGCAGGAGGGTGCGGAGCATGATGGGCAGGAGGCGGGAAAGGAGGGAGTCGGGGCAGGACAAAAGGTCAGTGGAAGGACGGTGAAGACGGGGCGAAGACATAGGAGGACGGTGAGGGGGTATATGTAGTTTGACTGACGCATTCCGTTAGAGGAATCGATAGGCCGGCGGACTCGGGGTGGGGTTTTGAATTGGGTGGCAGAGGGTAGTGGGTAGTTGCTTCGCCTACGGCACTTTGTGTTCCCGCAGGGGGTCTGGCGGACTCCTCTCTCCTCCTCCCCCTCCTTTCCTCCTCCTCCTCCTCCTCCTCCTCCTCCTCCTCCTCCCTCCTCCCTCTCCCTCCTCCGTCCTCACCTCTCCTCTCCCTCCTCCCTCCTCCCTCCTCCCTCCTTCCTCCCTCCTCCCTCCTCCATCCTCAACCTCCAAGGCGTTGGCGGCAGGGTAGTGCCCGCAGGCCCATAGGGTGGGGGCCCGTGCCTAGACATACCATGTTTCCCTCCAGGGTGCCATGGTCTTCGGGTTTCGATAGTCTCGCGATGGAGAGCGCGACGCTCTCATGCCAGAAATCCGTGGACATCCTGCGGATTCGGGCCTTGATTTCTTGTGGGGAGTTTGCTGCGACCGAGCTCCTCGGGGGTGGGGCTGGAAGGGAGGAGGGGGGGAGAGGAGGAGGAGGATAAGGAAACTCTCCGGGGCTCGCTTTGCTTTCCGGGTTCGTTTCTGCTGGTCCCGGTGCCCGAAAACGGCCCCCGGAGGCCGAAATCGAGGAATGATTGCTGCAGATCGAAGGTCCATGGAGCACTCGAGGAACAATCGGCGAAAACTGAGGAGGACCACGGGGCCCTGGCTTGCCCTGGTTTCCCCTGCTGTTCTTCGCCCCTCGGGGCCCGTGCGCTGGCGTCGTGCAATTTCGCGCGAGTGCCTTGGGGGCGGCGGGGGCGCAGACCGCGGGGGAGCTCGACGAGGGTTTCACGACGGCGGCACGGATGCCGCGGAGGAGGAGGAGGAGGGAGTAGGAGGAGGAGGAGGAGGAGGAGGAGGAGGAGGAGGAGGAGGAGGAGGAGGAGGAGGAGGAGGAGGAGGAGGAGGAGGAGAGGAGGAGGAGAGGAGGAGGAGGAGGAGGAGGAGGAGGAGGAGGAGGGAGGAAGAGGAGGTGGAGAGGGGGGAGGTAGGGGGGGAGGGGAAGAGAGGGGGGGGGAGGGAGGAGGAGGGGAGGAGGTGGGGAGGAAGAGGAAGAGGAGGGGGAGGAAGAGGAAGAGGAGGGGGAGGAAGAGGAGGAGGAGGAGGTGGGGAGGAGGAAGAGGAGGAGGAGGAGGAGGAGAAGGGGGAGGAGGAGGAGGAGGGGGAGGAGGAGGAGACGAAGAGCAGGGGCATTCGGCGAGGGTTTTCATGACGGCGGCACGGATGCCCTTCCAGAGCTCCTCGCGTCGCCAATGGATCTGGGGCACCCTCGGGGGCGCGAGGATAATCGCGCCCGAGATCTGGCTCCGGCTCGATTCCACTCGCTCGCGATCGGGTTCGCGATTGGTTTCGACGGGCTCGCAATCCGGATCACGATCCGGCTCGCGGCGATTTGTCGTGGCGAGGTGGGCCTTTTGGCAGTTTCTGGGGGCTTCGAAGAGGCCTCTTCTGGAGCGTCTGGGAGCCTGGTGGGAGCTTTTCGGGGCCGACGCCTCGAAAGTTCCGTTCGGGTCCCTCGTCTGGGCACCCGTCCTGAGAGCTTCTGAGGCCGTGCTGGAGGCGTTTTGGGCCGTCTTGGCGCCCTTTGGGGCTGTCCTGGGGCGATGTTAGAGGCGTACTGGGCCATCTTGGACCGTCGGGAAGCAGGAGGGGCCAGATCGCCCAAATCCTTCAAAAACTAATGGGAAGTCACTGACTGTACCGCTGCTTGGGCCAGTTTGCAGGCCTCGTGGGCGGTCTGGAAACCGTCAAGGCGCGATGGACAGAGCGTTCGGTGATTTGGGGCCCTCTTGGAAGATCTTGAAGACCTCTTGGGGGCAATTTTGGCGTGAGTTTTGTTTGGGTTCTGGGACCCCCGGGGGGGCGTCGTATCTGGCCTCCCCCCTCCCCTTGGGACTCCCCCCCCCTCCCGGCGGGGGAGGGATCAAAGGGAAGGGGCGTCCCTTCGACTCGAATATGACGTTGCTCGATTTCGTTTGGGCTGGCGCGCTCAAGCGCGCTGGAGGAGGAGGCCGAGGGAAAGGGGGGAAGCGGCGACGGGCCCATGGAAAATGGAGTTCGAAACGGAGACGAATCGAACGGACAAGACCCTCACACACGCCGACAGGGTCGGCAGGTTTCCCGTTCCAGAGCGTTCCGGAACGCTCTCAGAGCGATCCGGAACGCTCCGAGAAGGCCGCGGCGCCCGAGACATCCTAGAGGGCCGCTGGATCTGAGAGATTCTAGATGCATCCTCACCCGACTTTATCCTCGTCCTCGACTTTGTCCTCGTCCTCGACTTTGTCCTCGTCCTCGACTTTGTCCTCGTCCTCGACTTTGTCCTCGTCCTCGACTTCATCCTCGTCCTCGGCCTCGCCTCGCACCTGGGCGCCGAGGCGTGCGCAGGGCCCGAGCTGGGAGGGCGGCGGCGGCCGCGCGCGGAGGCGGCCGCGGGCGGCGGCCGCGGAGCGGTGGCCCCCGCGCGGGGCCGCAGGCCGTCGGTGTATTCTCGCGTGTCGGGGGCCTGTCGCCAATGCTCAGGAGAGGAAAAAACACACAGACACGATTGATCCTCGATTCCCCAGAACATATGGGAAAACATGGGAGGTGGGGGGGAAGACAGAAACCCAGAAGATATAGGAAAGAATATGGGGGATCTTTTTACTTGTGTGTATTTGTTTGTGTGTCCTGGGGCCCGTCGCCGATGTATCGGCGGCGTAGATGTTCCCCCCCCCCCTCCTCTGAGCTGGTCCTTTCCCCCTTCTCGTTGCCCCTCGGCTGCCCTCCGCATGCGTTTTGCTTGCCTTCTCTTTTTCCCCCCCTCTTCGTCTTTCGAAGGAGGCTCGGTGCAGGCACAAACATTTGGAGGTCCGCGAGGACCTTCGAGAGTTTGTGCCCATTCGGAGGAAAGGCCGCCACGACCACGACCAAGATGTCGCTGGATCTTGTCGACGCCGATCTTGGCCATGGTCCCTGCCAGTCCTCGCCGATTCGCGAGGATGATCCAGGACTTGACGATGACCAGTGTCGACGATGACCAAGGTTGACACCGACGTTTCCCGCGCTCAGTCGAGACACTCGGCGGCGCCCAGGGCGGAAGGCAGACGGGGCGGACCCCAGAAGGCTCAGAAGGCCTCTGGCCTTCGGAGAGGCTCCCCGAGGCCACGGAGGGCCTGCCCCGCCGCTTTCTGAGACGGCCTGCCCCCGCTCTCGCCCCCCCCCTCGGCGCACGAGCGAGCGGCGCGGAGCTCGTTCCAGTCCTCGGTATTCTGGGAAAGCCGACTCCCTTGAGGTCGGGCGTGGCGAAAGCAGTGCGACATTGCGAAGCATCACGGCCAGAGCCCCATACCCAGTCTTGCCGCTGCGCTTTTTCGAGCTGGATCGATCTGTCATGGTCCCGGGTCCCGAAGCTGGGCGAAAACGTCTGGCACCTCCTCATCAAGCATTATGCAACCCTTTACCATAATATCACATTGAATTTGTAGCCTAACTTACGCCACGGCTTTTAGGAATATCCCTACACATGTGGGTGGTTTCGCTTGACCCACCCGCAAAACATCCTCCCTGTCCCTGGTGTTTGTGGCCCTCCCGACCCCGGTGCCCTTCCAATACGTTAGGGGTACTGTTTTTTGGCTCACCATCTCCAGCGCGGGGGTCGCACGAGATAATATGGTGGGCTCTGCGGGTCTTCTCCCGGGTGACCTACGTCACCTCGAGCGACCCGAAGTTCCAGATACTCGGGCGGGGCAGGGCTGGTCCCGTGGCGCGCCGCGCGCCGGAGGCCTTCGTGGCTCGGGGATCGGCAGGAGTCAGCCGCGCGCAGAGGGGGGGGAGGGGGAAAGGCTTCTTATCTGCACGAACGAAATGGGCACGGAAAGAATGGGCACAGTGCCCAACAACAGTTTCTGTTAATTTTGAACAGGACTCGCTGTCCACGCCGCCGCGGCTCGTGTCCGTTCGAGACAGAAGGCCGCCTGCCCAACAGTGGCCGCTATTGGTTTGGGACAGCATTTGTTGTTGGGCATTGTACCCATTCTTTCCGTGCCCATTTCGGGCGTCCAAATCTTGGAAGCACCCCTGCTTCGAAGGCACGGGCCTGGTCTACAGTTGTGGAGGTCGACTCATGGAGAGGAAGCGCGCTGCCAAATGATTCCCAGCTGCCCAAGCAATGCTTCACACGTGTTTTGGGCATGTTGAACACATGCTTGAAGCATTTTTAGGACATGCTTTACACATTTTAAGCACATTCTTGATTCAAGGATCGGATGCTTAGAGTGCCCATTGTCATGGCATCCAGAAGTCTATAGATGTAGGGCCGGCGCATTCTAAGAAGCAGCCTCCTTCTGAGACGTCTTCCTCCCTCTCCCTGGCCCCCTGTGCGCGCCGCCGACGGAGGAAGTCTGGCTGCTGTCGATGAACCCAACCAGCATGGGCATAAAACTTTCGCAGCTCCGCGCGGATTTCTTGGAACTGCGCTGGGCCCCCGTGGCGGCGCCTCCGGTGCTGCCACTGGTGCGCTGGGAGGGGGGTCCAGCGCAGGTCCAGGACATTGTGCTGTATTCGTGTTTTTTTGTTCTCTGCGTTGACGTTGTGCCCTCTTGGTTTGTATCCAGCACTCCAGATATGGTGGCACGCTGGCCGCCTGTGCTGTCTGATGCCTCGGCGGTAGCAGTATCAGCACAGTGATGCAGCAGCTCAGGGGGACGGTAGGTCTGAGATGCCAGCACACCGTTTGGCCGCATGCGGTGCCGCTGATCGGGCCTGCGTGCAGAAAATGCCCCGGCTTCGGAACATTCTGGCCTCTGGCAGCAGCAGAACTGCCGACTCCGTCTCCTTCCCTCGCCTTGCCACCGCCGCGGGCCTCCGTGGCCTCGCCGTGCGCCGCGCGCCACGAGACGCCTCCTCCTCCTCCTCCTCCTCCTCCTCCTCCTCCTCCTCCTCCTCCTCCTCCTCCTCCTCCTCCTCCTCCTCCTCCTCCTCCTCCCCCTCCTCCCCCTCCTCCTTCCTCCTCCTCTCCTCCTCCTCCCTCCTCCTCCTCCCCCTCCTCCTGCGATCCTGCTTTCGCTTCCGCTGCGGCGCCCGCCGGCTGCGCCCGCAGCGGAGTGCGGCTCGGCGCGGGCTCCCGCGCCCTTGGCCGCTGCGCCCCGAGGCCGGCGCGGGCGCCCTGCCCCAAGCGCGCGAGGGGCGCCCCGCGAGAGCGAGCTGGGCCCCCTCGGGTGGCCGCGGCTCGGAGAGTCCTTGTTGGGACGGTGTCCGCGGGAGGGGCCTCCGGGTCGGAGGGCACCAACTATACACCTACACCGATCTTGGCCAGGCAAATCCTGCGCCCAGGATCGGTGTATGTGCCTTCCTGCCCCAGGCAGGAGGGCGTATACACCGATCCTGGGCCCAGGGTGATCCTGGGCCAGGATCGGTGTTGGTGTATAGTTGGTACCCTCCGACCGGGGGACAGGTCCTGGGGCGCGTGCTCGCAGCGGCAGAGGCAGTGAGCCTAGGCCTCCGAGATGGGGTCGGAGTCGATGGGGTCGGAGGATCGCGCCGCATCGCCGTGGCATCGACGATGCGGGGCTGGATGCGGAGCCCGATTTTCTCCACGCCGACGTCGCCGATGCGTCGACGACGTCGGCGGTGCATCGCCGATGCATCGGCGATCCTCCGACTCCATCTGCTCACACCCCATCTAGGAGGCCTCTAGTCAGCACCTCGCGCTGCGCTCGCGCCAGTGGCCCGCAGTCGCGGCCGAAACGGGTCGAGCTGGAAGGATACGCCTGGCGAAGGTGCTCCAGGCCGATGGGTGGCGCCCACACGGACCCGAACATCCGACGATCTGATTTGATCCTTGCGCGGCCCCAGAGGTCCTGACCTCCCTGAGGCCAACCTTTCGGCCCAGATCCATTTCTGTTGGTCCCGAGGCCCGACATCGGGCCCCATTTGCTCCACTACAACCAACTCTGCGCATCCTAAAGGGTGACGACGGAACACGATACAGGTGATGCAGAGCAGGCTTCAAAGTTACACGAGGCTAGCTTTTCCAGAAACCAGTCGAACTATAGATCTTACAAGCATGTGTATCTGCGCATTGTCTTGCAGCGGACTCCCCAGTAGGTGGTGCATCGGCGCGTGGACGACAAATATCTGAAGGACGAGCCGAATCGAGGACAACCGCCCAGACGGAACACATGCCGTCGTAGGCTGGAGCTTGCTACAAGAATCAAAAGCGGCACAATCATGTTTTCTCGGGGGTCCCAGCGCCGAGTCAAGGTACCCGCGCGGACCTCGGACAAATGACGTTTGCACAGATTTCTATTCTTGGATGGATCCACCTGGCAAGGACGCCAGGCAGACGGGGGGTGGCGCCCACGCGGACGGGCCAGGGAGCTCGGCCGAGCCATGGACGACGGCAAGGGCCGGACGACTTACACCTTCCCGTGCTTGCGGCTGCTGTTCGACAGCGGGGCCTGCCAGAAGAGAAGCGCCGAGGGGGGAGGGGTGGGCCGAGGGGAGGGGTTCAGAGGAGGAACAGGTATACCGATATCGCTGCCATTACTACGTTGGCTATCGTCGCCACGGCGGTATTCTCCTCGAACTTCTGATCAGAACGCACCCCTGGACAGGTCCGGGGAGTAGCGGTATCGGTATCTTTTTTTGGTTTCCCCGGGGGGGTGTCGGGTGGGACCAGGACAGGGATACTTCGTTCCAGAGCATTTGGAACTGCTGCTGCGAATCAGAGCCGGCAGATCTCAGAGGTCCCCGATGTGACCTTGTTCGATTTCGTCCCTGTCCTGGCTTCGTCTTGGGGCACGCCGAGGGCAGGGGTGGTGCGAGAATCACCGAGCGCGTTCCACTACTCGCAGAGTGCCTGCTCGCAAACGGCCGAAAAACAGAGGTTTGCTTCGACGAAAGTCATCGTAGATCCCCTGCGGCGGATCCAGGCCACTTGCGAGTCGCTACTCTGTTAGCAGTGGAGCGCGCTCGTCTAGAGAAGCTCTTTGCCGCTCCCTCTGCAGCGCGGACTGCTCGCATCGTCGCCTGGGCCTCCCTGCCGTGGCCTCCGGCGCCACCCCTGGCGCGCTCCGTGCGCCAGGGAGGGCTTCAGCGCAGACGCAAGCACTCCGCGCGGAGCTCTGACAGTCTATGCTTGTGCAGCTTTCTCTTCGTCCAGTAGCCGGAGTCGCGGCGGGCCCCCGTGGGGCGAGTGGGCACGCAGATTTTGCTATCGGTGAGTGTCTCGGGGGTGCGGCTTCGTCGCGGGTCGGTGCCGATCCCTGCGTTTATTCTCTGGGTCAGCCTGACTGCCCCTGCGGGGTCGAGAGGCCCTGGACGCCCCCCGTGAGGTCCGTTGGAGGCCAGTTGGGGCACGAAGCGCGGGAGGGGTGTGCCGAAAGGCGACTTCTCTGCACCGTCTGAAGGCGTCTGGAGGCCACGGGGCACGGCGTGCGCGCGCGCGCCGTGCCGAACTGCGGCCCCCTCGAGCCGTCTCGAGGGCACGAGGCGGGGGCCTCCCGGGGGCCCCCTGGCCACGGCGCGCCCGCGCGGTGCGCCGGGTGGAGGCTCCTCCGGCGCCCGTGCGGAGCGCCGGGGGAGGGTCTCTAGAGGTCCCCGCGGCGCAGGAAATTCGAAGAAGAAGATCCGACGCGGGAATTTATCCATACAGTCGGGGCCCCGAAGAAGGAACCCTTTTCGTTGGGGAGGGGCTCCGCGTTCCTTACGTGTTTCGCAGCTTGCCTCAGGTTTTCCTTATGTTTTCGATCGGAAATCGAAGTTTAACTTATGGAAAAAGGGGTTTCGTTCCTTATTTAGGGTTCCTTAGGTCAATGCCCCGACTGTAACCACCGCCCAGAGGATCGATTTTCGCGGACCTCCACGGGCGGTGGAGATGGATCTATCTTGGCCCCTGGGGGCCAACACGTGTCCATGTCCACCGCCAGTTGGGGTCCCAGGACGTCGGTTCCCCAGGCGGTGGATATGGGTATCCCCGCCTCGCACAAGGAACGGCGTGGACATACATTCTCGCAGGTCAGCTCGGATTTTTTGGATCGGCGCTGGGCCCCCCTGGCGGCGCTTCCGGTGCCGCCCCTGGCGCGCTCCGCGCGCCAGGGAGGGGGGCCCAGCACCCATGCAAGAAATTCGCGGGGACCTCCGAATTTCTGTTTATACTGGTTCTTTTGCTCTGGAGGTACATGCGGGGTGTACCGAGTTGAGGCTCCCTTCAGCTGGTTTTGGCGCCGGTTGCGCGCAGTGGGTCCACGGGCGCGAAGTGCGCGAGGGGCGTGCCACAGTAAGGCTCCGAGGAGAACCGAACAGGTCGCTCCAGAGCGTGCGCGGAGCATGCGAACTCATGGTTTCGCAATGTCTCGGCCACGCGCAGAGGGGGGTAGGGGGAGGGGGAGGGGGAACGCCTTCTTAGAAGCACCCCCGCTTCTTAGAAGGCGTGGGCCTTATCTCTAGGTGTAGGACCAGCGCCTTCTCAGAAACAGCCTCCTTCTAAGAAGCCTTCCCCCATCCCCCTACCCCCCTCTGCGCGCCGCCAATGGTTTCACAATTTCATCACCATTCCATCATCCAACCTGTCGTGTCCACCACGGCTCAGGCCGCCCCGCTCCCGCTCCACCCCGCGGGGTGCCCTTGCCGAGTTCTGTGCCCGCAGGGCGGGAATCACGGCGGACCCCCAGGGGAAGCTCGCACGCAGATGTTTGCAATCGGTGGGTGTTCGGGG